CATTTTTCATCAGGTACTGTTTATATTTAATTTTAAATAAAAAAATTTACAATAATTTTTAACCGCACGATGTACGATGAACGTATGTGATTTGAGGATCCCTAAAATCCTCACAAAAATGATCCCTGAGATCCCCACAAAGAGGATCCGGCGAGGATTCTCACTCTTCATACACCACCGTATCATGTTCAACTTGTATTCTTTTTTTTTAAGCTCTCAAAGTACTCTCACTCTTTATAGTAGAACAAACACATTTAATAAAAAATTATTTTTGACGAATGAAACATAAAATTAAAATTTTAAAAACAATAATAACCTGAATTTTAGAGACAAAGAAAGGAAAATAAAACTGTGATTGTTGCAGTCCTATTAGAATAGAAATATGATTGTGTAAATTCTAGTGTATCTAGGGATATCTTTGAATATTCCCTTTATTAGTTAATATCCTATTAGAGTTGTAATCCTAAAAGGGTAAGGAATTAACCTTCCATTCTACTATAAATAAAGGCACAATAGGGTGAAATAGAACACACTTCATAATTACACATCTCTCTATTCTCTCTCTATGCCGCACTCTCTCCCTCTCTCTATGGCCTCCATAATCGTTCAGTAAATTATGCATACAACACGTTATCAGCATGCTCTTGATGCTGCGCTAAAGAGATATTATTTTTCAATCAGAGAAGTATTACGTTTTAATCATTCTTTTTATGATTAATTTATTATTTTATTGAATTGATTTACATGCTATTGATTCAATTTAATTTTTTTGTGTTGAACATGAAACAACGCATTGGGGATGCAATACCGACTTTCTGAGAATGATATTCTACAAATTCAAAGGCTTTTATTGTTTTCTACAAATCAAGTACACTTATAATAAAGGAAGATATTTGAAACGACCATGAAACATGAAAACATTCTCCACGATGCATGAACCCCCTACATTTATATTGACCTTCCGATATATATTGTATATGTTCATATATTTGTCAATATATATATATATATATATATATATATATATATATATATATATATATATATATATGTTCATGCATTACGCAATTATAAATTCACTATGTGGAAATTGTGAGTCAAAGAATTGAAATAAAATAGAAACATGATTTTTTGGGTTCTGAAAACCTTAGAAATTGAGAAAAAAAAAACCCAAAATCGCAACCAAGTTGCGGTTGGAAGCCGTGACTCAGCCAAGCCACCTAGCTAGTTGAGCATGCAGCTCCTAAAACTTGGGATTTCAACTTACCTGGATTTTTTGGCCCACAAGATAGGCCTAGTTTTTTTTCTTCTCCTTTGCAGCCCGCCAGGGCTGACCTTTCTTCTTCCTGGGCTTTTTATCCCGTTCCCTTACATTGGACCAGCAATCCGCATGAACTATGAAAAAAAAAGAAGAAAACATTTTGCTCGGAGGTCTTGGCCCACTCTGATTACAGCACACTAGGCTTCCATTTTTCTTCTTAGCCCACGACTGCAGCAAGCCTGCAAGCTTGCTTTTGTAGGTTATTGGGCTAATTGCAGAAGCCTCACATGGCCCAACCCGAAGCTTGCAGCTATTGGGCTTTGCAAATTGGATAGCAGCCAGCAAGCCAATGCTGGGCTGGCTCATTTTCTCAACCCAAAGCCATTTTTTTGGTTTTTTTTATTTATTTATTTTTGGTGCCTGATTTCACGGCCTTAACCAATTTAAGGGTTTTTTTTCTCTTGTATGGCCTGCGGCCATCTAGCCCACAAATATGCCTGATACTTTGTATTATTTTGCTTCTACGATCGATCCCAAATGGTCCCGATCTATTAAATTAATTAAAAGTGACTTGCAATCCATTAATCTGACAATTAATCCAAAATTATTGGCCTAAAGCCCACTATTGGACATTAACGATTCAATATTTTATTTCTTTCTTTGAACCGTTGACTCACTTTTGTAGTCCCGAAACAGTCATACTTGAGTTCCTGAAGCAACTCAAATCCACTACACTTAAATCAATATAATTGTAGTCTATGTTCTTACAGGAACCTCTCTTTTATGAACTAACCGTTCATAAACTAAATTGAACCTGTAGTTTCAAATTTAGTGCCTTTGAAACCCGAAGTTTTTATAAAACAATACACCGATAAAAAATTGACATTTTTCATGAAAATCATGTCTTAGAACTCAAATGTTCTAACGTTGATGCTTATGGATGATTCATTCCTATAACACCAATCACAATCTTGTTCCCACCAATTCAGTGGATTGTCGAACCATCACAAGTTTAATTTTCCCTGATTTGGATGTTTCTAATAAAAACCACTTCATGTAGGGGTACAAGAAGTGAATCTCCACTTAACTATCAAGTAGCTGAGACACCATTGAAGCCAACATGGTAAGGAAGAGCTGAATAAGCCTCTACCATATCTTCATTCGAAGACTTATGCCCGAAGCATTACAAACAGAAATATCTCTCGAACGAGGATTCCATGGCTCTTTGGCTTGCTTCTACAAATCGTCTAATCATGAAAGAAATTGCCTGAAGCACACCATGACTACGTCCATGAATAAGTACAATTTTGAAGTTTATAAATCCGATCGAATTTTGACTGGAGAATACTTTTCTCGTCCTTCCATGTTTTTAACTCGCTTCTAAAGCAGCAGTGTAGAAAGCAGAAGTTTACCAAATTCTCAGATTTGATTACTACTACAAGAATGAAAGAAAGGTATAGACCCAGCTTTGGCTGGAGTCTACCGAACAGTATAGACCCAGTTCGGCTGAAGTTTACCGAATGGCTCAACCCAGTTCGGTCAAAGCCTACCGAATGGTGATGCTTTGCTTTGGCAGAGACCTACCGAATAGACCCTTCCAGCTTAGGCTAGAGCCTACTAAACCCAATTCGGGGTCTGCTTTTCTCACCATCCAATTTCAAGTTTGTTTTTACAACATATGATAGAATTAGGGCATGTCAAGTTGTGGCATCATGCCTGAAGTATGATCCTTGGCATCTAAACCTAAAACTTCAAGAATAAGGGATATTATTCCTGAACCTTAACCCTGCAGAATCTACTTCCGCCTCGATGGAATAAATCATTGGTTATGCACCTGTTCGTGCCTCTACCAATGTCGTTTAGGAGTTTCATTCTCGTAGTCAATCTATGAGACTAATTTTGCTCCACCAAACATCGTTGGAAGAGTAGAATTTTGACATGAGTGGCCTTATTGGCCGAATCCCCTTAGTAACTTTGGTTTACTTTGTGAACATTTTTCCATGCTCTTGGATTCAAGTTTGATGTTTGTTTTTCGTTATGGATAATCTTATTGATATTGTCCTTGAATACGAGTTAATTGAATCATGTTTCTTGTATACATGTGACTGAATTCAATTAAACACGTGATTAGGTGCGAATGTGGGACAATTAGTTGGTTGGATGAATGCGATACTACGCACACTAACTTTACGCCTAAATCACATCTCTAGCAACGACTTCAATCTATCCAACCTGATTAAGAGTATTGACACGCTCCTTGTTGTATGAATGGTACTACATTACCATTTAAGAGACTTTATATTCTCACCGTTATGAGTTTTTAAGGATATTCAAGATGACAATGATTATAAATGAAACCACTGTTGGAAAATAGAGTTGAATATCTTTGCACCACCTCCAAAAATGAGCCTGAAGCTTTGCTTTGGGGCCAATAGGCTATCACCCAATTGGGAACACATGTGGCCGGCCTGGAGCTAGGTGATTCAAGCAATTTACTTGCTTTGGCACGACTATTTAGGACACTTAGGTCGAACAATGATGCCACGATGCATCTCCTTACCTGAATTAAGGATTTTGTGCTTATAAGCACACTTTGCCAAGCCTGATCATTAGGGAGATTGATTTTCTAAATCATCACTCACAAAGATACGAAACGATCCTATTTTCACAGTGGATTTAGGGAATATATGTGGATTAGTCCAACTAAAATGCGGACCATATAAATACTTATGGTTTTGGTTGATAAATCGACAAATTGGCCGCATGTTTATCCACACACATTGCTGCTAAATCCTCTGGCCGATTAAGGGTTCACCACTCTACTTATCCCTTAAAGTTCGGGAGACTGGATAATGCTGAAGAGTTTCTATCGACGGTTTTCGATAAAGTATTGCTTGTCTCTTGGGTTTATAATTGGACATCGAATTCCCCTGTTCACCCCAAAATAGCCTCGCATAGTGATCATAAAGCGCAATTTAAATGATCGCCCAGACCTTGGTGAAGGCACCAAGTTTTCAGTTTCTGCCTAGGACTATGCAATCTTGTACACAGTTATGTTGGTCCGCCTTGAGGCCCATTACCATCCAACCTATACGACGTTACAGTTGGTTACTAGGTACGAACTTGACGTTTTTCATATTTACTCATTTTGGGTGTGCATTCCACGTGCCAAATTATGCCGCCGCAATGTACCAATATGGGTCCTTAAAGAAGGATGTGAATCTTTGTCGATTATGATTCTCCTTCACACTAGCTTTCTTAGAGCCTTTGCACGCGATCTCTTTACCTTTCATTTGGGGGTTGTCACTTCAATGAGACAGTATTCCTCATGTTAGGGAGAGATAAGAACGTCAACGTTCCTGTAGAACGACGTGAAGTTGCACGGACGTAGCCCACTATATCTTATCTCGATCCCCGTACTACACAAGTATAATAAGCAAGTGCGATGAATTCTAGTTTTCAAAATGTTGCTCCAAATACATTCATCTAATCTAGCTAAAGTGATGAGATCATATACCAGCTGCAAACATGTCTGCAAGGATAGACGTACTTAACGGACGTCGATTCAACATCCCTGGAGGGTGTGCTGCCCTTATTGGATGGTCCAATACATCGACGGATAGCCAATCAATCTGTCTTGGCCTGGAGCATGACAGACCACTCGGTTATGATTCGCTATTGATCTAGTGGTAAAGATGCAGCACTACCTTTACGAGCAGCCATTGACTTGGTATTAAAGATGTACCCTGAAGGTACTACGCATTTGAGCAAATCCCAATGCATCCCGAGTGGATCCAACCCCCCTGATCCTCAGAATGATCTTGCCTTGTTTGTTATGCTGACGCTGGTTACTTATCAAACCTGCACAAGGTAAAATCCCATAATGGTTATGTCTTTACCGTTAATCGAATCATATGGGTTAACAAAACGACCCATCAATAATGTAATTAATAAGCTTATCACCGTGATAATAATTACAATCAATATATTCTATTTCCTAATAAATCGACGACAGGATTTTCTCCTTAAAATCAACGGTGGGATTCTCTCTTCATGTCCTCGTAGGATTAGGAATACATCCCTAAACCGCCAAACCCTAAAACCTCCACCTATAAATCTATGCTTTGTGCAGTTCAATAGAAAACCTTAGCAAAAGAGAGCCCTCAATCTTATATACCTCGTCTCCCTTAGTTCGGTGAAAAACGAGGTCGGCTTCAGAGCTTGCTTGCGCCTACGCCACTCTGATCCTCCCTGACGAAGGCATCCCCGTCACTGCCGAGAAGATTGCAACCTTGGTGAAAGCTGCCAATGTCCCTGTCGAGTCTTACTGGCCCGGCCTCTTCGCCAAGCTTTCCGGGAAGAGAAACATTGAGGATCTTGTCCTGAATGCTGGCTCTGGCGGTGCAGTTTCCATCGCTGCCCCAGGTGTTGCCGAAGCTGCAGCCCCTGCTGCTGCTGCTCCTCCGCCACCAGAGGAGAAAAAGAAGGAAGAACCCAAGGAAGAAAGTGACGACGAGGGACTATTCAATTTGTTCGATTAGGAGCTCCTTTCAAACGTGACATATGAGTTTGGATATCTTCAGTTAATTTGCTTGTTTTTAGTACGTAATATGAGATTAGTTAAGTTACCTTATCAATATTGTATTGTATTAGGGTTCTCATGTTTTTTCTTGGGCTTATGATATGTATTGGTGATGAACATTGTTCTTCCTTTTTTTGAATCAGCATAATAATGGACAAATTGTTCAGACTCCTGGTTTTCTTCTGGCCATCCTAATTTTGATGAACATCTTCTGTTTGAGTGTCTGGTTATAAAAGTATGTTACCATTTTAATATTACTAATAAAAAAAGATATAGCTTGATGAATGATTGAAAACGAATCATCCTCTTCTAAATCCCTATATTTCTTCTCTCAAGCTTGAACGCTACTTTCTCCTCTCCTAAAATCCCTTCTCTAATTTCTGGATTCTTGCATTACTCATGGTACGTGGCTGCTCATACAGAAATATTAACCTTTTTCCTACTGGAACTCGGACTACTGCTTAATTTTTCTTGTGTTCAGAACATCAATTATATAATCGTTTTTCATGTTTTAACTAACACAGAAAACATTCCTTGCAATCTATGACAGCAAACCAATGGGCCTGTAAAACATCATTCTTTTAGTTAAAGTTGTGCTAAATTTTAAAAGATAAAATAAAAACTAGGATTGTTAAGAGAATCTTGTTAGGAGTACATGATTTAGTTAAGATTGTTAAAGATTGTTAAGATAAAATAAATTTTAGTTAAATTTGCGTTGACGAGAGAAAATAATGGAATGATTCCATGAGCATAAACATGGAAGGAAATCCAGGTTAATTCTTTAAAATTATATCGCTCATCATATTAAACTTTTTTTTTGCCGATTAATTGAGGGGAATATATTATGAATAAATGGATTGTGTACTTGCTATTCTTGAAATTTGAAATAAAAACATACTCACAAATGAAAATAAATACCACTAAATCGTCATCCAATTATTGGCAACTCCTTTTCGAGTTCTAATTTCTGTGTTTCTGACCTGAGTGAGAATAAATGGTTTGGGTGAGTAGGGGATATTTAAAACCAATTTGGAACGATTTAAAAGATGGCAACAGAATGGAAAGACAAAGATCATGCCTATTTATACGTACAAGAGTACAAAACTAACACTTTTCTTAAAAATTACCCAAATTAATAGTGTATTAGCAAAATGTGTCAGTCTTTATGTGTCCAAATATAATTGCACCATTGCCTATTTATTGATTGGTAAAAACTGGTTTCCATGTCCATGTATAGGATTGTTGAGTCAACGAGAAAGGAAAGAAGTGGAAGACACACAGTAGACTGAAACTAATTCAACACAAGTTGTTATTAGTTGACTGTTTATTCGTTGCGCATTTCTCCGCTTGTTGTTTGGGTTCCTTTTATTCCAGTTTTTGTAATCGTTCAATGTCTTGATGGCTTTAGGTAATTAAACATAGATGGTTCTTGTGCTAATGGTCGTACAACTGCGGCACAAGTCCTTGATGCTTATTTTGCTTCTATTACAGAGTTTGTGAGTTTGGTGGCTGCAAAAATTCTAGCTTTTATTGAGGTAGTACGTGAAGCCTGGGTCCGTGATGGAAACACCTCTGGATGAACATTAACCAATTCCCCCTTTGGTTCTTCACCACTTATACATAGTGGTGCTTTGGTTATTGCTAAACAATTAAAACAAGAGAACTTTCATGGAAATGGCTTGAACTAAGTTTATCTTAATAAAAAAAATCATGCTATAACTTTATTTAATGAAAAAGACTTAAATTTTAATGAAAAACTATTTAATTTTTTTTAAAAGGACAAAAAAATTTAAATTTTAATGAAAAAGACATAATTTTAAGGAGAGAGAGTTGGAATTGCCAAGATGGAAGGAGATGAAGGATTTGGGGTTTTGAAGGCAGACAATAGCAGAGAGATCTAGAAAGGATAATTGATAAACCAAATTTCATTCCAAATAGGATAGGATTAGGAGCCCTTATTCCCCAAGGAAATTCAGAATATATTAACTTACTTGGGGTACAAGTTATAACTATTAGCTAAATCTTAATCTTATTTATATACCAACGTCCGACACCATCAGCCGTTGGTGTGAGAATCTCTAAGGCCGGGGCCCAATTGGGTGTTAGAATCTTGACTTTATTTGGGAATTTTGGTTGCCAGTTCGTAGTTGGCCTCTATATGCAAGTGAATGACGTAGTTAGCCCTTGTTACAAAACCCTAAAGTTAGACCAGCAGCCGTTGGTGTAGTACGAAGAAACATTCAAATTTGAGTAATTAGTTTCCTCATTCTTCTTGGAAATTGGAACATATATTCCTATTTCCTTTAGGAAATAGGAACAAGTAATTGAGCACCTATAAATAAAGGGTTTAGCCTATTTTCTAAGGCACGTATATTCAACCTTCAATTAGTCTTCTGATAAAGCATCAATGTCTTCTCTGTCTCATGTCTCAACCCAAAAAATAAAAAAACATCAATCTTTTCTTCTGTAAAAAAATAAATCCCTGCTACTTTTGACATTATGCAATCAGGTATATATGCTTTTTATGTTGTTACATGCATGTGTTGTTCTTACACTTTTTTTACAGAAATTATTGAATTGTGCACTAGCTTATATACACAAAGGCTAAAAAGATCAATCTTTTCCTAGTTTCTTGCTATACCATTCCACAAAACACTAACTTTTTTTTATCATCGTCAACTCTCTGATGTTTTTTTGTTTTTTGCTTGTCAGATTGGGCAAACTTGCCAACAAATATTTTGTCTTTGATTTATGACAGGTTGTCTACTGTATCAGATTGCGTACAATTCATGGCCGTTTGCAAGTCATGGCGTTGTATGAAAAAGGACAGAAAATGTAAACATGCTAGGTTGACAACTCCAATGATCTTGGTTTCTGAGAGGAAAGAAAATACGTGGAATTCATACGATTTCGTGAACAATCAAGTCCTTGGTTTGCAACTAGAACTACCAAAGAAGCGATTTTGTGGGTCTTCCAAAGGATGGATAATAACAGTGGAGGCGAATTTTGTTGTAACCTTAATGAATCCACAATTTAATGTTAAACGGTGGACAAAGAGGCCAATCATTCGCATTCCTCAACTAAAACCTGTAATTAACCGCAGAATACGAGGTTTTGTTAAAGCTCATTTTGACTATTTTGTTGTCAAGGCTACGATTTCAGCAGACTCGATCTCAAACTCCAAAAATTACGTTGTTATGGTTATGTATGAGCCTCTTAGTTAGTTGGCTTTTATTAGACTTGGTAAAGACACAAGATGGAATTATATTGATAAGCATGGTGATGATATCTATACATTTATTACAGATGTTGTTCTAATTGAAGATAAGATTTACGCCATTAATGATTGGAGCAACCTTTGGGCTTTTTAATCTACATCCAAATCCACCGTAGATGTACAATTGGTTGCTACTGGCATAACATATCAACCTCAGAAGATGTATCTTGTAGGTTCAAGGAAAAAAGGACTATTGATGGTTTACAGATTTAGTAAGTATCGACGGTTTACCCGCGAGTCGAGGATGTTTAGAATTTTTTAATTGAATTCTAATGACGAGTGGATTGAGAAAAACGACTTAGGTGATATTGCTTTGTTTGTGGGTGATAACGATTTAGTATCTGTGCTTGCTTCAATGTATTCAGGATGTCAATCAAACTGCATATACTTCATCAATGACAACGACGGTATACATTGTCGGCATACATTTGACGATTTCGGGTGTATAATGTCAAAAATCAAAGTGTTACAAAACCTTCATGTTTGGAGAACCCAGTGAAGAAGACGCAGTACCCTCCATTTATGTTTCTACCAATTGTTTACATGTAAATTTATTATTTGTCCCTCAAGATATTATTATGAGGTTTCTCGCAATATTTTTTTTAATTTTTTTTTAATTTTTAAGGGAGACAATTGGTGGTAAGCCACAATTATCTACCTATTCCAGGCTCGGAGAGGCTATTGGGAATTTAGATTTTTTAGTTTTTTACAAGGACAATCAACCATAACTCACCCATGACTTTATTATTTGCAATCACTTTACTGCCCTTAACGGAACCTTATTCACCTATTGTCAAGGCAAACGAAATTATGAAACCATTAGCAAGACATTCACCTCTAACATCATATAAGTTCAAGGAAATCAACCTTTGGCTGTTCTAATTTATTTTTAAAAGTTCATCTACAAAAGGCGATACATTATTCGAAATTTCAAATTAATATCTTCATATTGTCGAATAAAATTTGCAACCCTATCAAATAGACTACAAATCTTTCTAGTTAAATTTTCATGGACGGAAGGAGCATTGAAACTGCGCACAAATTCTTTAGTTATGTCACACCTAAGAAGGCGAAATTGATAAGCTACTATGAAGTTAGGGAGTTTGTGAGTGCACCATCAACATAGAGTGAAAATTACTGGAGAGAAAAATCCCAATCAATTCAAGCTCTCAACATATCAGGTATTCCACTAAGGCAACGCTCAACATATTTAGATAATGGCAATCAAACCAACATATTTGCTAGCCACACTACCCCGCAGCAGCAACAGCCACTCTTGTAATAACGTTAGTGCTCGGCACAAATCTTTCTCTCAAAGTTGCAGCTTCATTAGTTAGACCATTAGCCATCGGTGTGAGAATCTCTAAAGCTGGGGCCCCATTGGATGTGAGAATCTTGACTTTATTTGGTCCCAGTTTTGTTTGCCGGTTAGAATTTGGCCCTTGTATGCAAGTGAATGACGTAAAGTGACCCAGCAGAAAAAAAGATATGCAGGAAAAAATCGGTTAGAAAACCCTAAAGTTGGACCAGCAGCAGTCGGTATAGTATGAATAAATTAACATTCAAATTGGAGTAATTAATTAGTTTCCTCAGTCTTCTTGGAAGTTGGAACATATGTTCCTATTTCCTTAGGAAATAATAACAAAGTAATTGAGTATACGGTAGCATAGACCACCGCCTTGCTCGTTTCGC